CATTCCGATTGGAGGATCAGAAACAGAGGTTTCGTGCTCCAGCATGGGATCTAAATATAGTGCTCCAACACCTCACAAGTGAGGCATATGAACCACTGGAATCAACATCATTCGAATTTCTGACACAGAAAACTTTGTTCCTGTTATCCCTAGCAACAGCAGCCAGGATGTCAGAGATTCACGCACTAGATTACGAGAGAACATGCTTTGATGACAATCATAACATCGTGCATATGGGACTACGCTGGGAATTCATCGCTAAAAACCAGTTGCCAGGTCAACCAGACAAATTATTCCACGTCCCAGCTCTCTCATCAATTCTCGGACCTCATGATACACTGGATCTATCATTATGCCCAGTCAGAGCACTGAAAATATATCTACGACGTTCCAATCCGAGACGACATAACCTCAGACGATTATTCATCCCTCTATCGACAGCTACACAGACGGAAGTCTCACGTACAACTATCTCGATATGGATCAGGGCTGTCATACTACGTGCCTACAAGGCTGCAGGACTCGACCCTCCAAGAGCATCTAATCCACATGAAATTAGAGCGCTAGCTTCAACACTTGCTCTACACGGCAATTGCTCTTTGAATACCATCATGGAGGGCTGCTTCTGGAGATCCGATATGGTGTTTGCCAACCACTATCTGAGAGATATCACCACCGAGGACGTCTCAGGTATTCACCATTTCGGTCCCATGGTCCTCGCACAGCAGTTGACAGTCCCTCGGAGAAGATAAGTCAATCTTACGAGATTTTTACTGCTTATTTCATAGCTAATAACTCCATGAAGTTTATGCTATTGTATATATGTTAGCTTAAGTTTAATCACTATCGTAAGCTCAGTACTATGTTGATTATATCACAATAATATCATTAGCTAACAACTCTATGAAGTTTATGCTATTATATTATCAAGCTTAAGTCTATATTAGTCTTAAGCATAGTATTCATGTTGTAAATACGTTATTTATGTTTATCATAATATCTATATATTGTAGTAACCCATATATGGCAGCTGATAAGTTTAACAGCAGGAATTTATCAATTCAGTGCCTTTATGAAGTTCCCATAGGGGTTATTACAGTTATTACAGTTATCAAATCACTAATTATCTAAATCCAAAGTATTCTGTATTCCCACCTCCGTTATCCGTAGGGATTCTACAAGCAAAAAGCATGAGTCAGGATAAGGAAAAATAGGTAATTTTCTGAATAAAATTGATATTTTATACTTATCCTGACTCATGAGGTAAGCCCTCCCATCCTCCCCACATAACACTTTGGATTTCCCTGAAAATTCAAGTGTTGGGCTCACTATATAAGGAGAGAGTGAGGCATGTGGCGGGAGGTGGCGCCCTCGTTCCCGCCAAAAGGAGAGGGATAGAGATAACTCTTGGTGAGTACTAATTAGTGATTTTACATTGAAGGGAGCTTCAATTGGGAGATACAAGTGTTCCACTGTGTTCGCAAGAAGAAGAAGACAAGCAAAAAGCATGAGTCAGGATAAGTATAAAATATCAATTTTATTCAGAAAATTACATTTTCAGTAGTATTATCAGGGTGAACCAATTGAAATAGCATTCTTGTCACATCTTTCATGGAAGACTGCTTTTCCTTATGGCAATTAGCTACAGCTTCAAGGATTTCAGAACTACATGCCTTGGACATACACTCAGTCGCATTTTTTAAAGATCTGTACAGAGTGGCAATTAGTGCCCTGCCAGGGGGAGCTCCTCGCAAGAATCAAAAGTCATCAATGGGATTGCTAGGACAACGAGCATTCACTTTTCCAACTCTGGCTCCTGCGTTAGATCGCGGCCTACCAGACAGGGTTCTATGCCCAGTAAGAGCTCAAAAATGGCATTTCATTTTGCATTCCGGCACCCACGGCCGAAAGCTATGGATACACAATGCCATTTAAAGTCCGTTTGACTTCATTTGAGACAGATGAATTGCTCACTAACTCAAACTCTAATACATGCAACAAAATCAAACTTTGCACAGTCATGTGAAATCGACAAACCAACTCTGATGATTTGTCTAATAATTTTGGACACCAGAAAAAAAAAGTTGTTTAACAAACAATCATTATTTTGTTGTCACTTTTTGCTGTTTCTTACGAGGAAGGAACACTTGCTTGTAGAACAGCCAGGTGATCAACAATCGTGTGCAGTGAAATTTCAATTTCACACGTACAACTCGCACACCTGCGCTATATAAATATGCTATAATAATTAACTCAGTTGTGGCTTCGGCAGCAGGAAATGGGATATATTGTGATCTTACAGATTTGCTGACCAATCCAAGTGTACTGAGAAACTTGGCCCCAGTTGACTATGAACCACTTGAGGGAATGGACTTTGAGTGCATCACCCTCAAGGTAATCTTCCTTCTAGTGCCTACTACAGCAGCCTGTATTTCGGAGAGACATATGCTTTGGATGTAAACTGAGTATGTTTTGAAAGGAAGAAGCACGGCAAGGTCTTCCTGTCTCTCAAATGGGATTGCATTTTGAAGAATCAGTTGTCTGGTCAGGCAGATACATTGTTCACTTTTATGCTGACAATCCTTAGACCTGATGCCATTGAAGATCTTTCCTTCTGTCTGGTCAGGGCCTTAAACATCTATATTGCTGCCTCAAAAGTTGGTCAGAGGCTATGCAAGCGATTTTGTCGTCCGGCTCTCTTTTGTCTCCACAGCGGAAGTATCTGTCACCACCCTTCCTTCACATTCGGTGCCCCGCCGTGATATTGCTGGAATATTGCTAAAAGCGGCGTAAAACTAAACTCAGTCAGTCAGTCACATTCGGTGATCCTACAGCTCTGGTTGTGTCTACCCTCACGTGAGAAGGGGACTGGCCTCTACTATGGTGCTTCACAGCAACTCTCAATGGCCTGACACCGCAGATATGGTATCACCCCAAACTGTCACTGGATTCGACACAACCTTGTGAATAAAAGAATAGACAATGTTATTCCTGGATTGACAACGATCAACCTTTGTCAGTGGGCTACTGAGGTACGCGTCCTGACTGAGAGCAGCCAGGTTTTTTATGCCCCCGCCATATATGGGTTACCCTCGGTGTCCGTCCGTCCGTCTGTCCGACATTTGAACTTGGGTACATTTTGCTGAATTTCTCTATGATGATAGTGTAATAGGGGATGAAGTCTATCCACTTCTCCACAAAAACTGCTCAACAGAATTGAATGAACTTCTACATGTCTTTTGTAGGGACTCTAAAGGTGTGCATTTCATAATTTTTTATGCAATTTCTTAATTTTGTCACTTTTACAGATGTTTGAACTTAGTTGAATTTTGTTCTATTCTGCCAGTGTTCGTTCCATCCAACAGGGGGTGTACGTTAACCACTTCTCCTCAAAAACTACTTTATGGAATTCATTTAGATTACACATGTGCTTTATAGGGACTCTAAAGGCATGCATCTCATATTTTGATTTTGTATTTAATTTATTTTTCCAATTTTAATGCCGTTTGAACTTACATAATTTTGTTGAATTTCTCTCTGAATATAGTGTTATAGGGGGTGAAGTCTATCCACTTCTCCACAATAGCTGCTCAACAGAATTGACTGAGCTTCTACGTGTGTTTCATTGGAACTCTAAAGGTGTGCATCTCGTACCTTGTTCATGCAATTTCTTAATTTTGTCACTTCTACAGATGTTTGAACTTAGTTTTAATTTGGTTCTATTCATCCTGTTCGTCCCATACAACAGGGGGTGTACTTTATCCACTTCTCCTCAAAAAACACTGCACAAAACTCATTTAGCTTACATATGTCTTTTATAGAAACTCTAAAGGTGTGCATCTCATATTTTGTTTTTGTATTTTATAGTTTTTTGTATGTTAAGAGACATTTGAACTTAGATAAATTTTGTTGAATTTCTCTCTGATGATAGTGAAATAGGGGATAGGTCTATCCACTTCTCCACAAAAACCGCTCAACAGAATTGATTAAGCTTATATGTGTGTTTCATTGCGACTCGAAAGGTGTGCATCTCATAGTTGCATAGATGTTTATTGAACTTGTTCATGAATTTTGTTCAATTATTGATCTTTATATGATAATAGGTTGTGTTATCTAACCCCTCAACACATTGTTTTTAGTGATTTCAAGTACTTCAGTGGGACCCTGAATGTGTGAACTCTTCCTACAGCAGCGGGGGCATCCGTGTCCCTGGACACAATTTTTTCTTGTTTTGCATTTACGAATGACTTAGATGGTTTTAATTTTATTGACTCTGGAGGCAAGCCTAGTACTCACTTACCTCTACTCTCATTAACAATCATATTAGTGGAGTATCAATTCCAAATCCTTGTGCAAGTTTCGAAGTGTTTCTCTCCCACAACTGTTGATGACCACTAGGGTTAAGGAAGAATAGGGAAGGTTATAGATGTGATAGGAACAGAATACTAAACAGAGAAATTACTGAGTTAACCCCACCTTTCCTCAGTTCAGGTATCTGTGGGGTTGTCGTCTTCCTACAGATAAGAGTAATCCGTGGCCCACCATCCAACCATATGATTTGTGCATAACGTAAGATAGGATAAGTTTTAAAAATTGGAAATTTTAACTTAAAATTGTATATTTATAATAGTTATCCTATCTCACATTATGGATACCAATGGGATAAAATCCCACTACTCAGGTAACAAGATTAATTCAGCCTCCAAGACAAGAAAATGATTTCAGTTGGCAGTCACATGGTCAACTAGGGCAGGATGCATGCTTGCATGAGCTGCTAGTGACTGCCAAGTACAATAAATGGAGAAAGGTGGTGTTGCAAGAAGCTGACAGCTTTATTTCAGGTCATTTCTACTCTACAGTCAGTAGAACAAGGGGAAGCGCCCAACATGACATAAGATAAGCATTGTAGATGCACAATTTACAGTTTGACTTTTTGGGTCATTTGAATTCAAAGTGGCACTAGTTATGTCTCTATTATTGCTGTTTTTGTCTATTCTCAGGATGTCTTTGAACAAGTGAACAAAGCTTACGAATTCTTGTGTAGTAAATCTAAAGTGAAAGAAGGACCTGACCCTCAGAACATAGTGCTGATACTCAAGGCCCAGTCCATCCTCTTCAGCAGGTACAAAGAAGGTAAGCTTTTATAGTCTTATGTAGTTGAAACTATCTTATCTGGACTGTTATGTTTCTCATATATTGTCCAGATAACCAATATTCCAGATATCTGAATCAGTTGCCAGTTACTTTCACTATCCAGGTTTTACGGAGATACTCGCTCCCAAAATATGAAAATGACAACAAAACAACTAAAATAGCCACCTGTAATAGACACTGCCCTTGTCTCGCCAGGGTAGACAGTAAACTTGCAGTGTTAACAGTATGCCTGTAACCATGGTGACCCATTACCCAACATGACCACCCATGGTCATTGTCTGAGTTGGAGACAGGGATTCAGTGCCACAAGCACTGCATGTTAACCTGGTTGACGCATGGGAGGCATAGAACAGGAATATACAGCCGATATGTGCAGCACATGGAACAAGAAGTGTCCTGTTTTTGCCATATATACTCAGACTCCACTCAGACTCCATGACAGGCCCTCTGCTTGGACCAGCTTCACCCAGATAAGAGCCTTGTTCAATACTAGTACTAGGACTGCATGGGATCAAACTGGTGCATGGCTCTCAGTCAGATAAGAGCCTTGTTCAACACTAGTACTAGGACTGCATGGGATCCAACTGGTGGCCAGTATGGATCCGGCATGTGAGTTAAGACAAGACTTAGTACTGTCAGAATGGATGGAATGGCCATGTGGATCCAGCATGGGAAGTGGGTCTCGACATGGTGCTCTCAGTCTGGACAGGATGGAGAGCATGGATCTGATATGGAGGGTGGGACTAGATATGGTGCTCTTAGTCTGGACAGGATGGAGAGCATGGATCTGGTATGGAAGGTGTGACTAGACATTGTGCTCTTAGTCTGGACAGGATGGAGAGCATGGATCTGGTATGGAGGGTGGGACTAGACATGGTGCTCTTAGTCTGGACAGGATGGAGAGCATGGATCTGGTATGGAGGGTGTGACTAGACATGGTGCTCTTAGTCTGGACAGGATGGAGAGCATGGATCTGGTATGGAGGGTGTGACTAGACATGGTGCTCTTAGTCTGGACAGGATGGAGAGCATGGATCTGGTATGGAGGGTGGGACTAGATATGGTGCTCTCAGTCAGGACAGGATGGAGAGCATGGATCTGGTATGGAGGGTGTGACTAGACATGGTGCTCTTAGTCTGGACAGGATGGAGAGCATGGATCTGGTATGGAAGGTGGGACTAGACATCCACAACATTCTACTATAATAGTATTTTATGTCTCAAGCCCCCAAAGGAGGAACAAGTGGAGTGAAAGATGCTAGTGTCTGCAGGTTGTAACGAACATTCCTCTTCCTCCTAGATACCATTCCCTTCCTTGGCCATCAACTGAAGTAATGCCATCAATCAGAAGAATGATAAAAGTGAAGTGAAGTTGCCAAACTGGCAGCTGTAGCTTCAGATCTCTCCATGACAACCCTCGATTAACCAAATGTGTATGAAGATGCCTTCCAACTAGTATAATTTCCATAGAAGATATTCTTTTTGATGTCCAGGATCAGGGAAATGAACTGAAGGAAATAAACAGCAGCAATTTAAAAAACTTGAGATGTGAACTGAGACAGATCAGGTTAATTTGAGAAGATGTAAATCGTTGTTGCACAAATAGAATATCAGCAGGCCCTTTACATTATTTCTTGTTCATGTTTGAGTGACTTCTTATGAGCTTATTCTGTCTGCTACTCAGTATACCATAATGTTGAATAGATATAGCATGATGTCAATATGATGTTTTTATGCAAAGCCTGAAAGGTGATGGGTCAAACTGCACTTTAAACAAAAATGTCATGGCAGTAGTAATCAGCTGTACCACAGAGTCTAATTTAGACAGTGCCCTTGCACCATTGGCGCATGATAGTTAAAAATGACGCAGTATACCTTAACCTGGTGGGTCTGATTGGCGCATTATAAAAATAATTTGACTCGTATCAATCATGTAAAAACATACCTCTCCAACCTCTTTAATATTTAAAACTTATTTTCACAATTTCGAGCGATCAATCAGTAATCCCCGCAGTGCCGTACACGCTTTCTAGCGTCTAATGTGGTGCCTACATCAATGCATGGAGCTTATAATACGTAGATTATTCAAGTCATTCTGTTTCGTTATACATTAAGAGTTACACCCCTTACTAGTGTACTTTCCAGGTCTATATCAAAGGGCGGTAACTGAAGTTGAAAAGACAGTGTGCAGTTATCGAAACAAAATGTTGGGTGAAAAGTCGCCTGCTGCTGTCAAGCGGCAGGCGCGAAATACATTCTTTTTTCGAATCAAAAAGAACAAAAACTGATAAAGAAAATGCCGAAACTGTTGCGAAGTCAAGTACTGACAGTTCTAATTCAGTAATTGAAACGGTTCCCTCAAAAGCCAATGACACACCGACAGATGTTGAAACTGAGAGCAAAACATCAACCCGTTCGTTCCAATGAAATGAGGTTTGTATCTGTGGGTTCTGTATAATGAGTGTAAAAACAAAATGACTTATGCACTTTGTCTGAAAAATGGAAACATAATGTTTTCATTGATGGAACTTATAATTTCCGTACTTCCACGCTCAAGAGACACGCTGATAGTGCCGACCATAAACTTACCTATAGTTTGGCATGAAATGCATGTGGACCCGTTTTTTTGTGAATATCTCTTCATCCAATGATCTAATCGATCTCAAACTGTACAAGTGGATGTTTTGTCAGACAACCTAATCACATTGTAAATCACCGATTTTATGCATTTGTATTAAAGAATCTGTCTATGTAACTGTCAACAAAATAAACAGCAGAACGCAGACGGCTTGCAGAGGGAGGGAGCCAATGACCTGTAACAGCGGCAGTGTTGGGTCATAAAGGTAAATGCACGTGCAGTTCATGATAGTTACCTGTGCACTGCACAGTGATAGACCGTTTGGATCATTCACATTGACTACTTCTAGCTGTCATCATGAAAGCTTATTCAGATGATGCTAAACGTTTAATTAGAAATGTGTTGAATTTTTTTTAAAAAGAGAGCAAACGTAGCAAACCGATTTATAAGGTGTCGGATTACATGAACGTACAACTTTTGCTCTTGGCATGAAAAAGAACATTGTGCTAAAAATTGTGAAAAATAAAACCAACAACCAATAAACAAAACCTTGTACAAAAAGGTAGGCATCCAAAGTTAGATTCTTTTGACATCAGGGTCATCAGAGATGTCATTCGCCGGCTATTTGCTAGAAATGAACACCTGTCCACAAGAAAGTTAAAACACATCCTTGCAGAGGATCACGACATTAATGTTTCTAGGTTTATGCTAAGCAAACTACTGCTCAAATTTGGATACAAGTACAAGAAGGTAGCAAACCAGAAACTTGTAATGTGTGAGAGATCTGATATTGTGAAAATAGGGTGTAACTATCTGAGAGAAATTAAGCAGGCAAGAGAGGATGGGTTCGAACCTATATATCTGGATGAGACCTGGGTCAATGCAAACCATACTGCTGCCAGACAGTGGCTACCCACTGATTCCAGTGATGGTATGAAAATACCAACAGGCAAAGGTGAACGTTTAATCGTTCTTAATGCTGGTTCCCACCGTGGATTCCTACCTGGGTGTGATCTGGTATTTCAGTCAAAGAGCACAGATGGTAGGGACTATCATACAGAAATGAACTCAACGGTTTTCACACAGTATGTTGAGGAACAATTGTTGCCAGCTCTGCCTTACAAAAGTCTTGTTGTCATGGACAATGCTTCCAATCACAGTGTTCGAGATCCACACAATAGGTGCCCAACTTCCAATACAAAGAAGTCAGATATGCAGCAATGGCTAACAAATAACAATATACAATTTTCAATTAAGGCCACTAAACCACAGTTGTACTCTTTGATTAAACCTAACAAACCTCCACCCACATATAACATTGACAACATGCTACGCCAACACGGCCATAAGGTCTTGAGATTACCACCGTACCACTGTGATCTCAACCCAATCGAACTTATCTGGGGAGACCTTAAAAGTACAGTGGCCCGGAAAAATCAATCATTCAAGTTGAATGATGTCACGCACATTGTCAACACTGCTATATGTGACATTGACATTGCACGCTGGCATGCATGTGTTGAACATGTCAAGAAGGTGGAGAAAGAGTACTGGCTCAAAGATGGCTTGAAGGAGCAAACAGTTAATCCAGTTGTCATTCGTCTGGACACTGATGACTCCTCTGTGGAACAATGGAGTGAATTTGATGATGTTTAATTCTGTTACTATATTTACAGATAATAATAGTATCCAGCCAGATATGCTCAAAGTAATATAACTTCTTTTAACAATGACAGCACTGATTAATTCCAACGACTTATAGTGTAACATGAAACACTCATTTCACATAAAATTATCATGAAAATATAAATATTAACTATCTATATGCTTAAAGCTATTAGAAATGCATTGCTTAATTTGGAATGTGAACGACATCAAAACATAACACTTTTGTCTTCATTCTATCTTTTCTTCAATGAGTGTGCATGATTGTGTGTGCTTGTGTCCGAGGGAACGGGGCTTTAACAGTTGTTGTGTTTAACCATAGGTGGTCCGATTAATGATTTAGTGTAAATATACTTTCTGTGTTCTTTAAATGCATTTCCACTTAGGTACTGCATAAACAAAATATGACATTAACATTACAAATTTAAAGATTTTAACCTACAGAATAATTCTCACTAATGGGTTTTGTGGTTAATGTTGAACAACTCAGAGAAACAAACTCCATATGATGGTTAACAGTTGGCACCCACCTTATCCTATTCACGACCTGTGACACCTCTTCATACCTGTCACGTGCATATCTGACCTACATTGACGAACGCTGACCTTTATGACCCAACACTGCCACTGTTACAGGTCATTGGCTCCCTCCCTCTGCAAGCCGTCTGCGTTCTGCTGTTTATTTTGTTGACAGTTACATAGACAGATTCTTTAATACAAATGCATAAAATCGGTGAT